TCCTGAAACTGCAGCTCTGTTATTTTTGTGGCTTCTCTGCCACTGACCTCGGTTAGTGATAGCATCCTTTATAATAGGCAGAATATGGTGATTATTGTAAAGAGGTTAATGGCAGTAAAGGATTGTAATGGCCAAGAGAAAGTGTGAGAGATTAGGATGTGTTCTTGTGAATTTCTACAGTCTGATAAATGCAGGGTGCAATTTGGAGAGGTTGTTGCTGTCTTTTGAAGATGCGTGAGACAGTTGTGGGATGCTCAGATTTGCTCAGAAACTTTATGCTCATCTTGTAGTAATTGGTTCTGCTGTAACGTTTAAGGAAATCGGGCATGCAGTGCTATTTTTAATTACTTTGTGTTCTTGTATTGAGCGTTGAGTAAGTCTTTAATGTGCATTCATTCCTTAAATAATGCTTTTATTTTAAGCAAAGTTGCTTAGGAATCCCTAAAGTACAGCTGCTTGTGATATTGCAGAAATAATTATTTTGTATGGCACAGAATTATAGTCTCATACCTGGTTCTCATTTCAAGAGTTGAATTTTCATGCTCTTTTGTATTCTAGGCATTGAATGCACTGGGCATTTGGGAAACTCTATTTGCAGCTGTTCCTGGGCTTACGTCAAAGACCTCAGTGGAGTGATAACTTGAAGATGGGAGATCAGGATGCAGATGAACCCTTTCTGGAAATAGTGGCTGGTGCTGCCACAGACCATGAAGGAGCTCTGCCCTCAGACACAGTGTCGCTCAGCGATTCTGATTCTGATGATTTGGGGTTAGCGGATGAAGCAGAAGTTGATACAATATCTCCTGAGGAGCCATCTGTAGATGATGGGGATGACAGATCAGGGGAGACACCTGACTTTTCAGACAGCAGTCATAAATCCCCTGTCCAGCCGTTCCATCTGAGGGGCATGAGTTCTATGTTCTCCCTCCGTAGCCAGAGCATTTTTGATTGCCTGGAAGAGGCGGCCAAGTCGTCTGTGCCCTCAATGCCTGAAGATAATGTTGTTGATGGAAGGTTTAAGCGTCCATTGCCTCCAACCACAGTTTCAAGTAACATGGTTCCAGAAAGCCTGGGGAAGAAAGCCACACCAGTGCCAGCTCCCAAGACCTCTCCTGCAGTGCCTGACTATGTGGCACATCCAGAGCGCTGGACCAAATACAGCTTAGATGGAGTTTCAGAGTCTAGTGACAAGACTAACAGGGCAGTGGCCATGGAATTTCTAGAGAGTTTGAAGAAAAGAGGAGAGGAACAAAGCTCAGCTACCCAAGATAGCTACACCCCATACTTCAACCAGGACCCTTCCAGCTGTGGAGCTGGGAGGATTGTCTTCACCAAACCGATGAAGAGGGGTGCTGATGAACTGGAAAAGAAAACATCATCAGGGGAGGATGATAAGAAACACATGAAAACGGATCTGAAAGGAAAATCTCTTAAAACTGATGACTTGAGGGTGGAGGATAAGGTAGAGTTGGGGCACTTAGATAGTGCAAGTGGAAAGGCAGCAGAGGACGAGGAAGAGTGCAGGATGATGGGGGACCTGAATGCAGAAAGTAAGCTTAGTGCACGATTTAGTCATGCAGATGAAGAGCCAGTGATGGAAGCAGTTGGATTCCATTGCAGTAAGAAGAAGAATAGGAAAAATTTCCGGCCTAAAGTAGATGATGAAGGAGAGGAGGAAGAGTCCTGAAGGATGGAGCGCCCTGGAAACATCCAAGGACTTTCATTGTCTTTGGATACAATTGTTTGTTTGTTTGTTTGTTTGTTTTTTCTGGTCTGGAAACCATGTGATAGCTTTTTGTCTAACGGTTTGCATCATTGTCACCAAGAACATTTTATATTGTTAGCAATTAAGCTGCCTAAAATACACTCCAGACTTTCTGTTCATGAGAAGTCTGTGGGCACAGGAGAGAATAAAGTGTGTTTCATTTGCTTGAGTGGCTCCCTGGGGCTTTGGAGCTGAAGTAGCCAAAGAGATTTGCAGCCTTTTAGCTAACACGGCTTCTTACTAACCCCCACATTTAGAGTGGTTCCCAAATCCTGTAGAATCCTGGAACAAAGATGATGAGCTCATTATGTAGAATTTTTTAAACAATGAAATAAATCCGAGTCTTCCACCAGGAGTGATTTCTCCCGGTTGTGTCCCACAGAGGAAAACTCCTCCGCTGCCCTGTCATCCTTTTCTCATTGCCATTGAGAGCAAAAGCACAACGATGCCCACTCATGGGTTTGGAGGTCCCAGTTGAGAACTGGCAAAACCAGTACTTTTTTTTAAGGTTGGCTTAATATTTACCTTATTTAGTGTTATGTGGTAAAGATTTTAAACCCCACAATGTTTACTGTAGAGAGGTACAGCTCTGGATCCATCCTGGTGAAGACACGCTCAGGATGGCTTCGGCCAAGTCTAACCGTGTTGAGCGTACATCAGAATTCGCAACAGCTTCAGTTATTTCGTTGGGTAGCAGCTTTTCCTCTTAGTGGTGTAATATGATGTGATGATTCTTGCCCTGCACATTGGTATGGCCTTTCCAGGTGGCACTACTTCCACATTGATGCTGTGTATGAATTTGGTGAGAATGAGGTATTTACACCAGAACTGGATACTTTTTTGTTCTTTGGGATTCAACAAACATTGAGTTGTAGCTTGAATGATGCTCATTAATGCAGCTATAGAAGTTTTGATAAATACTCAGTTTATTTGATTTGAGAATTGTCTTAAAAATCTTCTAGAATGTTACTGTAAGCTTACCCTCTTGTAACTTCTCCTTCAAGTCCTATATTTTAGATTCTAAAATTCACATTTTTCACATTTTCAATCATTTTATAATAGAGAGAATCACTGCATAGGATGAATCACCTCATACAACGAATCACATAGTAATGAATGTCAAATATAGTAGTTTTTCACACAGTGTTAATAAATTTTATAAAGAGGGTTGAAAGATTAAATTATTTGAAAGGTTATGTGATTTGAAATTCATGTTAGTTCAGGTCAGTTTGAACTGACATATTTTTGCCAGTATTCTAAATTGACCAGCCCCAGTGTTAGCGTTTGTAACTGTGTAGTCGAAGACTGCTTCAGAATTTGTGATGTTTCTTGCTAGACTGTGCTTGCTCAACATGAAGGATATTTGAGGTTCATTCTTCTGGGGGGTGTCAGCATCTTACTGATAATTCACTGGTAGATCCAAATCATTTGGATCTTTGTGTTTGAACAGATGCATCATTTGGCAGCAGAAGCAGAAAACAATGTAAAATGAATAAAATTGTTTCATTTTTTGAAATTCACATTTTAATTTTAAAAGCAGAATGTATTTTCTCATGAGTATACCGTTTGATGCACATTAATTAGTGCTATATACATCAGTTGTTCCAGTGCATGTGGGTGAGATACAGCAATTTCAAATGGATAGATTTTGGTTTCCAGTGGGTAATTAATGTGTTGATCACAATTAAAATAGAAGCTGTTTCAGAAGAGAAGCTGCTGCCAAGAGCAGGGCATGCTGAGTGTATGATGTGCATTACTTCCTAACAAAAAAATGCAGCTCAGTACAAACTTTCTGGTTTTATAACTTCTGCTTCCCTCGGATGAAGAACAGGTAGGACAGTACCAAAATTCCATCACTGTTAGTGGAGTTGCTGAGGTCTGGGGCACAGCTGAATAAACTGGACATTTTATGAAGCCAAGAAGATTAATATATGTTAATAAAAGACTCATGTCAGGTACTTTTACTGGATGTAAGAATGATTTTTTTTCCACCTCTGGTAATAGAGAAAGGTTTTGCACTACCTATATTTATGTTGCATAGAAGCAGTGTTATGTGCATGGGGAAATCAAGTTCAGTTGAAGCTTATAATCGAAAAAAAAAAACCACAACCCAGTACTTCCCCCTTCTGATGCTGTTTGTGTTATTCCAAAGAAATTTCCCTTTAAAGGCTGGTAGTAATACTCATTTTATTGCTGTATGTATCATTTCATGCAAAATTCTAATAAAGCCAGCTAACTTTTGTATGCTAAAAGCATACATGGCAGTTTAAGTAATGAGAAAAAATGACTAACTGTCCAAATTCCTAGTTTGTAGGAAAATTCTTGCAATACATTCTTGCTTTAAAATCTCTGAGTGACTTTTTTGTTTCTTGACCTTTGAGGGAAAAGTAAAATGAAACCAGAAAAGCACTTAGGTGTAGATGTGGTGTTCCACGTAATGGCAGTCTCCTTGAACAGCAGCAAGCTGCCAGCAGCTGTGATCTGGCATTAAAATCCAAAAGCAAGCAGCAGAGCCTGGGGGTCTGACTGAAGGGAGGTCACCTCTTTTGTGTTTGGAAAGTGGCTGCAAGGCACTGCACACTTGAGGACTGCTCGATGAGGTTCCAGTTTCTAGGGGTGAGGGAGGAGCCCTCCATAAGGAGTACCAGCAGAGGAATACCACACAGAAGCCAGCGTGGGAAGAGACGATGGTGAGTGCAATCATTTGAGGGTTGGAAGAACTCCGGGACCTCTATGGATTGTAATAGTTCAGTATCCCAGGCCCTTTCCTGTGGAAACTATTTCTTGATTTCCTTGCTAAGCAACTCAGAAATATAAGCTTGCTTTCTTGGCCAAGGAAATGGCTTGGGTTTTAGTGTGTAAATGATCACCCTTCAAAAGGGAGACTTCCTCAAACAGAGAAATGTGGAAATCAGCCATGATGATGTTAGGTTGAGGGTATGGTGTTTGGAGCACAGAAGGCAGGTCGTATTTAGAAATTAACGTGGTACAGTCATCCTGGAGGAGAAAGTTTTTAGTGTGATTTGTGGAATGGAGCTTTGGAGAAAGGACCAAGCAATACAGGAGCAGGAGGGAAGAAAGCCCAACAGATTGAAGGAAGAAGACCAAGAATCCTCAGGAGTGTCAAACATTGACAGTGCTTGGCATAAAAGCTCTGTGAGCTGGGCCTTAGGCCTTCATGAGATTAGGTTATTTCTACAGCAGTTCAGTAGGACAGAAGAAATGAGAACAAAATTTAATTATCAATATATGTGATGTCAGTCCCGGACTGATCTGCACGCTCTTCTCTCTCACTTCTTTCTGGCAAAGGCACTTCTGTGTTGGCATTCATCACACCTAATAGGATTGTAAAAGCCATGTGCTTGTTTAAAAGCCTTAGGACAAGGGGCACATCACAGTAATTACTTAACAAACTTTGAAATGTTGAAAATAATCCACAGTAAAAAAGTACTGTAAATTTAACTACTTTGCATTGGCTCAGTAAATGATGAAAACAGGTCTCTTCTTTATTATTTAGCTATTTAAGTTTTGATTATTTTCACAATCACAGAATTAAAATGTTCAGGGAACATGCTATAGGATGGTTTTTCTTACTGGAATGTTGATAATGAATCAATGTGTGTGTGTTTTATAAGCTTCTAACAGAATTAAGTCAAGTTTGAGGTTCATTTGAGTCTGAGTGATCAAAGGTCTTGTCGTATCACACCTTTGCTGAATTTCCAGCTACTTTCTTTTTCCCATGTAGTATATATGTGTTCAGTTTCTGGATTTTGGAGAGCTTTTTGTGTAATAGGTAGATACGGAAATAGAGCATTAAGAAGATCCAGAATCTTTATCGTTTTGGATATCCTGTGGTGGCTTAGAAGTAGTCTGGTTTTGACTCCAAAGTTTTACATTCCAAACAGTGGTGCCCTGGGACACAGGACGAGATTCTTAACTGACAGAAATAGCAAGGCACCTGAAGGCAGATGAGCTGCATGGATTAAAACAAAGTAGGAGGTGCTTATTTTTTAGTTTTTAAAAAAAGATTTAAAATTACTATTGTTATCCATATGAAATGTTTTGGTAGTACGTTGGCAGTACTGACTCATTGACTCAAGAAACCTCCAAGGCACAATCCTCTCAAGAAACCCTGAGGCAAATAGATACTTATTTACATGCTTAAAGTTTGGTGAGATTATTCTAACTCACACCAAGTGATAGTCCTTTCCACAAACCTTTTAAATATACTTTGCAAAGTTGGTTTTTTTTGTTCTGAAGTATGAATATTTTGTTCCTTGCTTATGTTCCCCTTACCTCTATGTATACTCGTTCACACCTCTTTATGTGGTTCTTCTCCAATTTTTTTTCTTGCATTTTTTAACTAAATTGTTCAGTTGTATTAATTAGCTTTTCTGTTATTGTTTTCAATACTTACATGTGTAGTTTGGAGCTGGCTGGTTGCACAAGAGATTGGTTTTGGTTAAAACCTCTGCCATGGAGGAGATAGCGGCTGTACAGTAGCAAATCTACAAAATAGGTAGTGATTTCTACATCAGCTAATTTTTGTAGTACTTCATCCATTCTTCAATTTGCAGGAAAGATAATCTAGGCAGCAGACTGAAGCAGCATCGGAGATACCACATTTCTTTATTTTTATTTTTAAGAAATAGTTGAACTGTCTTGAAGGAAGTTTTTTATTAAATACCTTACCTTTTTTGTGAGTATGTTGTGTTATCTCAAGCTGACACAAACTTATTAAAGCATTTCTTGTGTGTTCCTGTTGGACCTGTATTTGATGTCAACATTGTTCATTGAGTAACATGATGTTTTTCAGGAAGCCATAAAATGGATAAGGAAGGGAAACTGCAATGGGAGTATTAAGATAAGGAGCCTTCAGCGAGGCAAAAATTACACTGGCGAGTTCTAGGGACAAAGAAAATAGTAACAGTTGTGCTATGTTGCACATGGTAATGCTAAGCATTTTCAGGCTGTTTCAAAAATGTTTGTTTGTTTATATTTCAAGGGTTTGCCATCAAAAGCTCAAGATAGGGTTTCCTTCTATTATTTGTGTTTCACGTTTGTCTGTTAGACACTTCCCTTTGAGGCACTGGTATCTGGTATCTAAGAAAATTAGAAAAACTGATGTCCAAGAAGATTAGTGTAGGTCAGATCAGACAGAATGTTGGTATTTTCAAAGTTGCCAGTTTTAAAGAAGGAAAAGGTTGGGCGAAGAAAAAGAATGAAGGGGGAAAGATGAAGCGTTTCCTTCCAGAAGCATTCTTGATGAAAGAAATAAACACTTCTCAAGTAGACTAGCAAAGTGACCAAGAAATGCTGTATTCCCCTTTCTCCTTTCTACCAGAGGTCAGAAATGTTTCTTTACATATATGTACACCACCAGAGAGAAAACAATAAGGAAGGTGAAATCATAATACAGATCCATTTCTCCTTCCCTTTGTCCCTAAACGGGATCTGCCAAACCACCATTAAATGGGAGAAACAAGGTGAAATCCTAAAGCTGATATAAATGCCTGTAAGAATATTACTTACCTGGGTTTCCATAACTTTAAACCGCTTTTCTTGCTCTTTCAGTCCACTAAAATATTTAGACAAGTTATCCACCCTGTGGAAACAAAGCAGACACACTGGGCAAAAGGGAAAGGCCTCAGAAGAAATCCTATAACACAAAACCCATATAACTCACTAGAGCCGTGACCCCTCGCTGGCAGTTCTGGACTGCTGAGACACCCCAGAGCCCCCTAAAAGTTTTGTCCTTTTGAGGTGTTCCTGCGAGTATTTATTGAACAGAGCAGCATTTCTGAGATAATCTCATGCACTTGTTGACCAGGTACTTGTTATAAACTCTCATAGATTACAGGAGCTGTTCAGCTCCTGGTGAGAACCACTTGGCTCCAGCTGCTGTGGAAAACAAGGACAGCAGAAAGTAGCCTTAGATCCAGCTCTGTCTCTCAAGGCACTGATGTCCTACCTGTACCAAATGTAAGCTGATCCTGCTGTGAGAACTGAAACCGTAGTATTTGTTCCATCAGCACGAGGGAGACGAGCCACTTAATATTTATACAAGGCTTCATTTTTGGAAACTGGTTTGACAGTCAAACCCCTTTTCCCATGCAGTGAAAAGGAATTGTGTAGAGGAATTCTGTTTAGTGCCTCCAAATCGTTGAACTGTCCACATGCTTTATCCTTCACTTCTTTTCACATCACTTCCTTATTCTGTTACATATCTGATTTCCCCATAGGTTCCTCAGGTCCCTCTCTGCTTTGTCCTAACTACTGTTTTCAAAGCTTCCCTCTTACAGGTTACGTTCCACTCAGGTCTATTTCAAAAAGCTGATGCTGGGTAGGTCTAGTGCATTTTGGGATTGGTTCAATGCAAAGTTCAAAGAATCACTTTCTGAGAGCTTCATAAGATTTCAAATACACCCTGCTACCACCTGTGAGCAAAGATAAAAAGCTGTGGTTTAGTGGTGTTCATCTGAACCTTTTCCAGTCTCTTTCTGGCTTCTCTATACCTGAAATCCTATGAAGCCAAACTGATTCTGACTTTTCTCCTCCAAGCAGTAATTTCATCTACAAAGTACCATCTCGAAAGCTTTCTAGCTCTAAAGCTCAAAAGAATGTAATTGTATCCTTTGTTTGAAAAGCAACTAAACACATCATTGTTACTTGATCTCGGCAATTGAGTCTCATTCCTAGGCTTTGTCAGTAACCTTCTTATGAGAATAAAGTTTAAACCAACATAACTATTTTAAGTTATTAGGAATTAAGAGTCTATGTAGATTAATGGAAGAAGAGTCATTTCCAAGAACATACTCAAGTATTCTGTTCTGGGCTCCAGCTATTCTGTGAGTTAGACGGGTGGAGGTTTGTTTTGAAAGGCAGCAGAGAAAGAAAACAGAGAGCACAAGAACATTTCTGTGGTGCTTTCTTATTCTGATAACTTTCACACCCATTGGGCCTCTATTTGAAGTCAGTTTTATCATGAGAGGCCACAGCAGAAATGGGTATTAAAAGCTTCTTTAAAGAAGTCTTTGCTGTCTGGCATTCAGTAACGTCTTAAATGTTTCTGTTTTCCCTGCATGTAGCTACTTTATGTCTCACTTGAAGACACAAAGTAAACATTTACTAATTCAGAGTAAACCTCTGAATAATAATTTAGCACCTCCTTTCTTTAGAGTACAAAACTAACTTAGGTGGTGTTCCTAGTGGTGACATATTTTAGAAAAGTATTTACATGGAGATTCAATTAAATACAATCTTAGAGCAAATATCATTAATTTCTTGTAGAAAACTGTGGTCTTCTGCCATAAAGCCATAAATAGTTGTTGTCCTGCACCTGTGGGCTGGGGATAACTCAAGATATCTTAATCTTCCATCTAGAAGTCTAAGTGATTCAAAAGTCCGTGTTGTATTCCTGCAGGGGATGGAGGTGCAGGCACTGCAGTATAGCAGAGAAACTGTTCTTCCACCAGTTCTTCATGAATAAGATTTTCATTGAGCTTGACTGCAGATTTGGCTGAAGCTCACAGGCCTGCAATTGTACTTACTTCAAGAGTGTCAAAAGCTCTTCTAATATTGTAGTGATGCTGGCTTCTCACATTTTTCATGGACTGCTTATTTCCTAACTGCATTCTAGTTGGACTCTTCATACAAGCTTTGCAAGCACCTGAATGTTTATGTCATTCAAACCTGAAGACTTGTAAGGTACACTTATTGTGGGCTAGAGTAACATACTTATTAGATGTGGCCTTCAGCCTTTCTTCATTGCTTTCTTTCCTTTCTTGTTCAAGGTTTACAAGATAGTTTTCTTTTTGCACCAGCTCCCATGTTACGATTTTTTGATCTAGACCAACTGGAAGATCTCTTTCTGTAGGACAAAAAAGAAATTAAGAATTAAATTTCACTCCCTTTTATACTAGTAATGGAAGCTGCTATGCTAAAGAAAAATCAAGTCTTGCTATTGGAGGCACTTTGCCATTGCAGGAGTGTCGTGTTATGAAAAAGCAGTGTAAAAGAAGTATTTTCTACTTTTGTTTTTTTTTGTAATGGAAGGCAACATCCCTTCTTGCAGTTGGATGTGGCTCCTGAGTTTTCTAAAGAACAGCATGGACCAATTTCTGTGGTTCCACTTAAACTCATTTACAACCTTACCAGACTTCAGACATATTTTAGCCCCTAAGTATTTAATGAGCAGAACTTTATTTTCCAATGCACTTTATCATCTAAGATTCTTTATTAGCACAATTATAAATAGAAAGGAAAAACTGTGAATAAATCCCTCCACCTTGAAGAATAAAGCCTGTTGTTGTCAAATGCCCATTCACAGACCTCAATTGCACAGACATTTTGAACGTAACATACCAGTTTTGTACCTTGCTAAAGATTGTGTGCTGAAGCACACTTGCTGTGTGCTCCAAACACTACTGAATCTGTAACCTGAGCCGTCAAGTGCTTTATTAAGGGAAAAAGGATCTCTTTTTTTTGAAGAAGAAGAAGAATCTTGAGCAGTATGCTTTGATAGCCAGAAGGAGTGTGCCTGAAAGGGAGCTTAGTCAAAGGGCCCTCAACTGGTCCAGTCTGACAATGGTTCTGCTCCAGCCTGCACTTATTATCTATCAGCCGCTATTAAACGAGATGGACTGAGCTTGCCATCACTATAGAAAACCCTCCAATGCCTTCTGTAATTAGCTGAACTTCATCTCCCTTTTAAGTTATAACTTTTAAGGGACAACCATTTCTGTAAGCGTGCTTGCTCTCTCTACATGTATTGGGTAATTCCACTGATCCTAGTAGATTTTTAGACTTGGTATATGTTTTGAGGGTTTTCTATACTTAATAATAACTAAAATTCAGGAGTAAATGAAATAGCTATTCATTATTCATTAAACCTATCAGTGGTTATCTCTTCAGAAATCAAATCCCTTTAACCAGTTTAATTTTGTCGACTTTGACGTAATAACTATGGTGCATAAAGAAATGCATTGTGGGAAACTGTTTCTAGTACAAGTTACATTACAAGCCTTAATTTTTCATTCGTAGTCCCCTGGCACTGTTTGTTAAAAATAATTTGTGACTCTTGGCTTAAAGAAATCTGAACTGCCCTTCTGTTTTGCCTAAGCAACATGTCAGGGTCTGCACGTGCTCGATGTTTATTAACAACTCACCCAGATGTTCTTTTTTATGTTCCATTTTGTTGAAGATTCTTCTGAGAACCAGAGTTACGTGGTTAATGATGATAAATGGTGGTGCTAAGGCCGGCCGGCCGTGATACTCAACAATCAGGTTGTAGCGCTGGATTTTCCAGAAAATGTCTGCGTTGCCCTGAACAACTTGAAACGTGTAACTGTAATTGAGGGGGGACAAAAAAGTGAATGAACTTTCACTTCAACAAACTACAGCTTATTAATACAAAATTTAGTCCCACATTTACTTTGAAAAAGGAGCAGCAAGTGGTGGTAATTTAGTCTAAAGTTTGTGCATATTCTTAGATATTTAAATAACTGCAGTTGCATTCTTCATATGTTAAAAAAGTACATTAGAGTTGTTCTGTTTGTTTTTTTTTAAAGAAAGGTAATTCTTCTTCACTGAGACAAGATCAGCAAGCGTGCCACATTTCTTCAACCACATGAATCATTATTGGCTGTCTGGACATCAAGCATTTCCCCTATGTGCGGATTATCCACTGTTAAGACTGCCAAGTTTACAGCTGCTTTGCACTTGCAGGCTTGTGCTGCAGCACAACCAGGGATCCAGACCCTCCTATGCCTGTCTAATTGATTTTTTAACAGTAAAAGAGGTTTCTTTTCTTCATGTCTTTAATGTGGCTAGGATGATGAGAACTTAAGAACTGTATGATCACAGAAGCTTATCAATCACAAATAATATTCATTAGGAAAATAGACGAGGGGCAATGGACACAAGTTGCTTCTGGAGAGATTCCAACTGAACTCCAGAAGAAATTGTTTTACCATGAGATCAATCAGACATGGAACAATCTCCCAAGGGAAGTGGTGAATTCCCCTACACTGGTCAGTTTTAAGAGTCAGCTTGACAGGGTGCTGACTCAACTCATTTAAACTGTACTTTTACCTCGAGAGGTTGGACTGGATGATCCCTGTGATCCCTTCCAACCTGGTATTCTATGATTCTATGATAAAATTACAAGTGTATCCCAAAATGAATAGCCAACGGCAATGTAGTAAATACAGGCATTCAGTTAAAACTTTGCAACCTCTGTCTTCGTACTTACTGAACTCGCTCTTACCTGAACATAGCAATCAGAAGATTCATTAGGAGAACGTTTGTGACCAGTAGGAAGATGACCAGCAGAAGTATGACAAGCCAGTTGGCATAGCTGTTAGGACATGATGGTGAGTTTTCCTGCAGAATCTGCAGTGGATTAAATGTACAGTTCCTGGGATGCATACGTGATGCTACAAAGGAAGGTAGAGAAGTAAAAGAATAGTTTTGGCAAATCCTGCTGCCACATGCCTTTCTTAGAGTGGAGACAAAGGCTTTGCATTTTGTTGAGCAAAATCTCTGACTTTCAACAAAGAATGGCAAGAATTACAAATTGCTCATGAGGTTTGAAGTGCTGCATTTCATAGCTGCTTCGATGCAAATAAAAACTGAATTAATATCTCTATACGTGTCTTTTTTTAAGAACTAGTGACATGGATGGATGTGTATACTTACTACCTTTACTATTAAGATACAACTCAAGGACAATGACTATAGTGGTTACTAAAATGAGATTTAATCTTGGCTGCATATAAACAGCAGCATCACGTTTTTCTGAACATTTTACAGTCATTAAAAGCTTAAACACAATTTTGTGGCAGTATTTTTGCACTGCCCTTGTTAACTACTAGCAGGACTGTAAATACGAGTCTCTCTTCACCCTAACAGGACAGTTCTTTGACTGCTTGAGTTACTAAGATAATTCTTGCAGTTCAAAGATCATTTATGTGAACTGATATCCAATGTCTTTAATTTTGTGAAAATGTAATCATATCAAGTACATGAAGAAACATTGCTTTAATGTGCAAGAAGTTTGCAACCCTAGGACAATGCAGACCTCCAGAACGTGGCTGCTCATTCAGTGACAAGAGGACTGTCACAACTGCCTTTTTAGTAACGTTCAGCAAAGAGGGGGTTGTACTGATAAGGCTCTAAGTGGCTTTTCAGTAATATTCAGAAAAGGGGGATTACATTGAAAAGTCTATGTCCTTTTTAGTCTGAGTTCTTAAAGTCAAACTACCTTTGAGTACTGAGCAATTGCCTTCCCCCACATACTTGTGCCTACATAGTCCGCAATGCTGCTATGAGTGTTAGAGGAGAAAACTCAGTAAAACTGGGAATGGGGTTCCTCATTCTGAGTTTAAACTCCTTTGTGCATTTGAGCTTGCAGTTGAGCTTAGTCAGAATGGTTCTAGTCATCAGACTGGAGGCCTGGTCTGGTATCCTGTCTCCAGCTATGAATTAAATCCACAACTTTAGAGTAGCCTAATGATATTTACTTTTTTGTTCTCCATTTTTTTCAGTAATAATTCTTTTCCCCACTGCCACGGATAACCTGGCAATCATATTCCTTAGGGCTCGCAGTTTAATCAAAGCTCCCCACAGCTGGGACTGCTTTCAGCCAAGTGCATTTACCTTATATTTTTCTACACTGAATTTAATTTGATGAGTTAGCACTCATGAGAGTCCTCTGCAACTTTTTGGTGTCAGCTTTAGTCTTTACTACCCAGTAATGTAGTTTTGTCAGCAACTTTTGTTCCCTTTATCACCCGTCTCCTTTTCCATATGTTTCATAAAGTTGTTAAACCAAATAAGCCCCAGAGGGCCCCAGGACAAATTATGCCCTTCTGGAAGCTGCCCATGTAATTAATTCCTTTTTCTTTTGTCTGTCTTTTAACCAGTTATTTACCCAGGTGGAGAGACCCTTTGGACCCTCAATGGAGAGAAATACACATTTCTAGGGAATGCTACCTCTGACCTATTTCCAAATGAGATTAATCCCATTCCAGGCATGTTAGTTTCTCTCCTATTACTTTACTGGAAATAAGAGTCACTGGTTGTGCCATGCATGCTTAGACCATAAGCATTTAAAGTTAAGTGAGTGTTCTTTTGTCTCATTCAGACTTCATATGCTTTTTCTTATTAAGCAGAGTGAAAATGAGAGAATGCTTGTTGGTTTGCTTCTGTCTATGGGATTTCTTTGGTTCCATCTAGATTACCTCAAGTTTAAATCCTACTTCAATATTGCCACTGACATTTAGCACTGTTATTCTGGCTAAATGCTAGGGTGTTACTTCAGACTTCTTTGGGAGAGAAGAATACTTTATGTTCAAGTATTTCCATGTCTTATGATTACTTTTATGTTGCTTTGTTTGAAATGCTGCACATATGCAATTACAAGTTTTATTTGATTTGGGCAGCTTTACCTCCCAGAGTAAATAAATGCTCTAGAGGAATATTTATTCTAAAACATAAGTGTTTGCTTACGGACAGAGCTGCACTAATTTAACACTGTCACATTGAACTCCTGCCAAAATGCATGAAGGTGCTATTTTTTCAGTTTATATGGTGTTATCTGGATCTAGGTTAAACTGAATGGAAATGGACTGAAGTGAAAGAAGATATGCCAGCCTTTAAAACTGCAAGTCCGTGTGTGTTTCAGACAGTTTGTCTAAATAGGGCTGACCCTTATGCTCTAATGTAATTCCACACTGCACGTTATCTCTTAGCAAATACACTATTGATATCATAGTAATGTGAAAGCTTTGGCCTGCAGGACAGAGATTTAAAAAAATAACAACCAAGAGACAATACTGGGAAGGAATTCCGTGCTCCAATCAGAAGTGTGCGTTCAAAAAAGGCCAAGCTGGGGAGGGGACGGGGAGAGAAAGAAAGGTCCTCACTGTCTATTTCATCCAGTGGAATCTGGCCAAATATCTGAAGGTAGGGACGATAAAGCACCCTTCTGAATATCCATTCCACTCGGCTGTCATCGGGATGAAGTAGAGCTTGAGTTGTCACACCATAGGCAAAGAGCCACACACTCAAGAAAAACAGAAAGAAGAAAACATCCTTCATCTAAAAAAGAGAGAGGGAGGGGGGAGAAAAGGAGAGGTGACTGTAATAGCATAGTCAAATAATGGTAGTCTTTCTATATGAAAATGGCTCAAATAATTCTGTTTCTTTCCAAGCTTGTTTAGGCTAAAGGAGGTGGAATAGGATGCAGTTTCATGCACAGAATTCCTCTCTTGACCTTGCGGTTATTATATTGTTCCTGGCCTGTAAGCAGCATTTTTCTTTGATAGCTCATTTCAATAAAGACATGTTTAAAATTCAAAACTTGATTTTCAATCATCTAACATTTAAAAATGAAACACGTTTTATCTTTTAAGTAAATCTCCTTGTACCTTTTATATGCAGATTTTCTGTGAGATCTCACACTGGTATGGACTGCTTTACTGTGAATTACAGGAGTTCTGCTGCAGCAGTGAATCCTGGTAGCAGTCGATGCTGTCTAGTGCATACTGAACCACAGATACAGCAGACATTGAAGGCTGCAAGGATCAGGTAGCTTCTGTCTTGGGTTTTCAAGCTAAGTAATGCATCTGAGGGATTACTTTCAGGACTTCTTTCTTTTAAACATTGTGTTTCTCTACAGAAGCAGAAGTAATTGAATCCTAAAACACTTACTTAAAAAAATCCAATATGTATTTCAAGTGCAATAATTTTTCCCTGGTGGAAGAGGAACACTTCATCCTCTTCCCATCTAATCTCACAGAGTTCATTAGGGACTGTAGATTCATTTCAATTAGATTATTGGATTGTGCAGTTACCCAGCAGCATAGGCATTTCAGACATCCAGGAGGTTGCTTGGAGTTCTCTTAACACAGTATCTAAGCCAGGCAAGACACAGTGGATGTCTCTCTGACTTTCACCAATCTATTTTGTTTTCTGGATGATTTAAAATTTAGCAATGCTGCAGGACTGTTTGATGTCATAGTTAAGAGGGAGCAGTGGCAAGTCTGGTAATGTTTTTTTTCCAGTCTGAGTCTGTGAATGGGCATTGCTCTGGCATTGAACTGCCATTTTAGTAGCTACCAGACTCGATTCAGCAATTTTGTAGCAAGGTTTAAAAGGAGAAAGACAATAAGAGACAATCTTGGATTGCTCCTCTGTTTAAGTAAGGGAAGTTATTGTGCTTGAACCCACTTGATGAAACGTTTCAAGAAGGTATCATTTACTGAAGTAACTTTCACTCTTCTTTCATTTGATGTAAGGTTGAACATTGAACTACTAAAGCTAAAGCATTGTGTTGGCTTGGATGTGGGGACGATGAAAGGTCCCATTTTATGGTTTTTGTCTGGGCTGTTGTTTATGTTCTTATTTGCATCTTCTTAATCTGTGTATTATCTCATCTGACTTCAGATAGTAGACATAGTAGACACATCACCATATTGATTCAGGGCCCTGGTTTAACTTGGTATGCAACAAGGAAGGGTTAGAAGCTGTAGTTCTGACTTATTCTCTTACAATAAAAGTCTGCTAATGCTGTAAGCTTGATAATGTTCAAGAACAAATATTTATTTGCCTTTTGCCCTTTTGCTACTCCAAGCAAATGTCACATTAGGGTTCCAGTTATTGCATTTGTAGACAAATCCAAATAGCTTGGTAGTTATATTTATTCAATATATAGGTTTGTTTAGACTGTAGGGCTTTTACTGAGCTCTGCTGTGAGTCACAAATCAAATATTTGTAGATTCTGTAATACCATTTACAATTAGATGAACTACTATTAATCAGTTACCATGAGCTAACTGGCCTAGAGGATTAACATGCCTAAACAAAAAGCTACTTCAGCGTACCGATGCATACCCAAGCATGGTCACTGTAGTGCTAATGTCTCATTTTCTGCAGGAGAGTGGTAATAAATAAAAATCTTTTATCAAAATCTTCCAACATATGCTCCCAATGTACTGATATGTTTTCGTTGTAACTTGGAGCTACAAAATACAAGTAAGAATAACTCCTGTGGGAAACTTGCAACTATCCTTTTTCACAGATTTTTTTCACACTTCTTGCAAATAATATAATCTGTTTTCCCAGCGGAGCAGAGTCATTCAGTAAATGCCCTGCCCTTCTGTAAATGGCCCGTCGTTTGAGGCCTTTGCTCTGAACGTATTCATCCTATGAAGCAGGAGGAATAGCAGTAAGTCAAAGATGCTCATCATTTGCCAGATCTGAGGATAGATGATTAGGTAAGATACAGAGACTACTGAATTGGACCAACTTATTACACTACAGAGTTCGTTGGAAAGATCTGTTTCAAACTTACTGCATCTAATACTCATGATAAATAAGGGACTAAATGCAAACTGACAAGCCTTAAAAATGTAAAAATAAAGATAGATTCTGAACTGATTTCCTTTGTAAAGAGAAGATTTCCTTCTCCCCACTTTTTAGAAAGCACAAATATTTATCTGAGAGGGACCGCACACTTACCATCCTTTCCACAATTATGATCTTTGGTCCAAGCTGTTTGTGAATTGCAAAAATGTGTATAAGTCTAAGTGTAAACACCATAAAATCAATAGCAAGTATTGTTCGACCAGCTTGAAAAGTCGAGTTCAGCATCCTGCAGAATACATGAAATGAAATATCAGATGTCAGCAAGTACTACTGAGAAGTCATTTCTTAAATCTTACACTCCAGTTTCCAGGCATATCCTAGTTAGGAAGAAGGAGGTGCTGCAGGGTTGTGGCTGCAGAAGCCTACTGTGACAGGAATGTAGCATAATGCTTGTGCATTGATGAGAAACAGATGAGGGACATCGTATTCTCTGTCTAGAATTCAATGAGGTTAATGTAAAAGAAAAGAAATATCTTTTACATTGAGAAAAAGTGATTGCCGAAACCAACCAAAAAAAGAGCAGAGCTTTTCTGTACGTGTGTTTGAACATGTCAGTTTGTCTTTTTGTGGTCTCCGTAGCAACTTCTATGGTTCTGCAGAATTTTAGAGGCCTTTATTGCAGAAACAAGTCTCAGAGCTTGTAAAAGTAAATGTCACAGCCTCATGTCCTCACGTGCACATGAGACTCCCCTGTCAGTTGATGTACACAGCCCTTGCTACTGATGCTGACCACATCACGTGGAACAGACATATACCTGCAGGTTACCCCAATTATGAAAAGGAAGATGGTCACCATATCACATTTATTCCAGTTATCCTCCACATACAATTTAAATTTTTTCTTTAAATTTGTGTCTTCGTCTGTATAGAAACTCTGAAAAAGAGAAATAAACATTGGTATTGATCTATTTCCAGTTTCCCTATTTCATTGTGAGTTTTAATATAATACCCATTTTCTTATTCATTGCAAAGAGCAAAACCAAATTCCTAGTGTAACAGGAAAGAAAGCTTTAAAACATAAGCATGGTTTACTGTCTTTAAACACACACACAAAAGAACAAATCCCTTTTTATTCTTGTGGTATTAGCCTGATTAATTTTTGAGGCCTGATTTAAGATTTTGTGAACACTCAGGCTGTTAAACAATACAACTTCCAGGCAAAGTTCAGTTTTGAGACACTGCTAGCTAAACAGATTTGACGTTTGTATACTGGAATTGTCAGTGAGTGCACATTTGATTATCTAGGCAAAGAGTTGGGTTTCTTAATTGGGATTTAGCCTGGCACTCATCATATTTTACAGGTTTATAACGAAATGTTCTTTGATCCAAATATTTTCCATGTCTTCCTCTGGTTATGGTCTTGCTGTATAATTTCAAATAAATTGTAACAATCTAGGATCCCCTTTACTGACCCTATTGCTTGAATAATGAACACCTCTTTGTTCTTCCAGAGTAAATGTTTATAACTGCTTTTTTGTGTCTAAAGAGGAGAGCTTTATGCACCCACAGTTGGCAACACACTAGACCATTGTTTACATTATTTAGGTTGTTGAGGACATTCCAAAACCAGTAACTGGGAGAGTAATGGTGAGGTTTGCTTTTGTTTTGCTATTAAGAAAAGCAAACCAGAAAGAGATCTGCTAATGTTTTGAGTTGACAAGTATTTTAGGAAAAATGCAAATAATCTGAATTCATTTACTTGTTTGGGGTTTTTTTGTTGTGTGTTTTACATTTGGGGTTTGTGGGTTTTTTTGTTTGTTGTTGTTTGGTTTTTTTAAAACTGTCCTCAGCAAGGAAGAATCTCCTAAAAGGATGTAGAGTTCTCCACTGGGTTTCCAGGTGTAGAAAATAATTTCCAAATTACATTATTTGTGGTGGGCGGATCTAGTTCTGGGGACTGAAATCAGAGAGATACTTTGGAAAGTGAAGGACAGCTGAATCTTAGCAGCTCACCCGACTTGGCTGCAGCTGGAGCAGGATGGAAAAACAGAGGTGGAGCTAAAATTTACACGGTGGAGGAAGAGCTGGCTCTGGGAGAGAGAGGTGGAGTATTTTGGGTAAAGTAAGCTCTGTATTGCTCTTCTGTGCAATACTGCACCTGACACTTGAAATCTTTAAGCTTGTACAGTTGTACATTGTAAATATATTAAAAATACTGTCTTAAATTTTACTTTATTCTCACTGAAATGTTGTAGGCTACTGACCTGTCGGATTTCTTCCAAGACCAGTGTAAAAACCCAGAAGTAAAGTATAATTTCTTTAGCAGACGGACCCTCAGGTGGAGGTGGCTTAAAGTCCAGTAAGAGGACATAAGTGAATAGAAACAGAAAAGCAAAGTACATTATAACATTCCCCATAAATACGGTTACAGGGGCACTCCAGAATTTTCTCCACCGAGTAAACATGAATGTTGCCCATGCTGTGTTTTCAGAAAGGTTCTGCTTTTCCAGTTTACTGTTTCCTCTGTAAAACAAAAAGAACATAGTCTTGGTGACAAACTCCTAAAATTAGTTCATGGGAAAAGGCTTGGTATTATTCTTTAAAGCTATGAAGCTTCTTGTAAGATAGTAACAGACAGATGCTGGGGACGGCAAGGAGGACTTCTGCAGAAGTCAGAGCAGTCACATTACCATAGCAGAAATATCTCAAGTCAAAAAGAAGTTTTTGAAAAACAAAGTCACTTCAGACTTAAATGCATATTCTTGTTATTTCGGTTTTGTTAATTTGATTTGTAACTTTATTGTGTTCAGATTTCAGAAATTGAATATAGAAGCCTTTTATGAAAAATAGTTGCCCTCACAAATCATTAAGGTAGTCTTTGACTGTTGTGTAGTTTTGCAAGTGTTTTGGTAACTGATGGGAAATTTAACCTGTACACCTGCAGTTGTTTTTTTGCTGTGTTTTGGAACACAAAGTGCTGTCCATTGGCAATGGAAAAGATCCTGTGCAGAAAACGCAAGTTCCGTGTATTTGATAGCAATCTGATCCTAGTGTGAGGTTTTGTTTCCACGTAAATTGCTCTCCTGTGTTATTGGATCTTTAGTTTCGTGATTCTGACTCTGAGAGGTGTGATCTTTAATGAAGAATGTGCACACTAGGGTGTGTTTTCAATTTCACCTCACGAAAAAGAAACAAGTGACTGTTCACTGGCTTTTAATTTCCCCTGACGCAAGAAATAATTCTTGCTAATTATTAAATACATTTGTTACAAGGAAAATCTCCTCACAGCCAGTCTTTTCTGTGTGCCCGATTCTGTGCTACCTCTGAATTTATGACATCATAAGATACATTCCTATGGTAACAGGCTAATGTCATAAACAGATAATTGCAGCTTTCTGTAAGATGCTGAAATAGATCTGGGAGGAGGAGAGCCTCTTTGTTAAAACAAATTGCTAAGATAATAGCAACTGAAACGCACAATGTAATGACCAAACCAAGCTTCACTCAGGATATGGAAGTGCTTTATGACAGTGCTTACCAATAGCTCTCAGGAGGCAGATGCTCTTACACTTATTTTATAGGGGAGGGAGGGAGGTAGAAGAACTAATGATTTTCTCCAATATACTGGCAGTTAAATGCCAGAGGTAAAAATAGAACCTAAAACACTGACTTGGTCCAGCACTTCACACTGCGGATGATGTTTCCTTGCTGCTGTTGTTCACAACTTTCTGAAGTTCTCTTGAAATAATTTTAAAGCATATGCTTAATTCAAGTGGCTATTTAGCACTATTTTGTCATTAAGAGGACTGTGTGGTAATCAAAAGTCTTCCTATCCTGTCTTAAGTCCTTGTGGCCTCCCAGGTTTTGGTGGTGAGTGTGTGGCAGAGGTATAAGTTGGGATTCAGAAGTTCTGAATCACAGATCTATGAATGACTGTGAGCAACTGACAGGCTGTTTGTGCTCAGTTACACATTTGTGTAATGCTCCCTCTAACTCCGAAGTTAAATTTGTTGTTGTACTTCAGGTTTCTCAGGGCCCATCTTCTAAAATGTAAATGAAAAGCACTGGTACAGTGGGAAGCTGACTTAATGTAAAATTCCCAGGTAGTGATGTTTACATGTTGCTGCCTTTGTAGGAAAGACTATCGTGATGCACTCAAATAATACAAGGTTTTGCTGAGAACCTTCTTTCTGCTCAGCTCTGTAACCCAATAGGGGCTTAGTCCCTAAATCCAATGTATATCAGTCATCGTGAGCTGAAGGAAATCTTGGGAAATGCTTTTTGATTCCCCAGGTATTAAGCAGATTCCTTGTTCTCTGGAAGTTACCTGCTCAGAACAAGTAAAGTTGTTTGTCCTTAAAACAGTGCTATATCCCTGTTTATTTTCTGTTGGGTTGCTCAAGAAGTAATTGCTTTTTTTTTCTGGGTAAATGAAAGGCAATTTTTTCATGGGAAACAAAAATGGTATTAAACAATATATAGTCCGTTTTGTTCAATTACCTTTTGCCATCTTCATGATTCCGTGCTCAAAAAAGTTCTCTTTTTTGGGAAAAACCCGTTCCAAGAACAATTTGACATCCTCAGCAGCAGTGAAGGTTTTACCATTCAAGGTGTTTTGTAAAGAACAAAACAATGGCAGTCTGATGGTGCCAGCTCTGGTGAATGTGGTGGATGTGGTAACGCATCTCGTCCAAGCTGCGACAAGTTTTGATGAGTGACCAAACTTGTCTGTGGTCTGCTGTTATCATGGAGAAACACAGCACCTTTGCAATTTTGTCATTATCAACTTTGACTTGCCTTCCTGAGCGTGGTGCATCTTTAACATCAAAATCTCCAGACTGAAATTTAGCAAGCCAGTTCTGAAACCGCTGTAGGTTTAAGGCATCTCCACCATACACATCACACAACTTTTTATGAGCTTGCACAGCGTTTTTCCCTTTTCAGTAGTAATACAACAAAATATGACAGAAATGTTCCTTTTGATTTTCCATTTTGAAATCGATGGCAAAGAAATCGTTGTAAATGAAATCATGCACTTTTTTTTTCTAAAACAAGCTTGAACTCTCAGTGAACATAGTGAACTTGTGGTTCAAAATGAAGTTAGTTACATTTCAAGACGTGTGTCCATCTGCTAAAAAAAAACCCAGCTGCAGTTACTTTTTGGTCAACCCAGTATATTCCTTTTAGAGATCAATGACAGCAGTAATCAGAGGGTGCAGCACTTTCTGAGGAGTAATTACTTTCTTGGTCCTTCAGCTGCTCCTTAGATCATTAGCTGGTCACTAATCCACAAAAAGTGTCCTGTGCTTTGATTGTTGTCGCAAAAGTTACATTAGCTAATGGGTTTAGACTTACCTATCTTCTTCCTTGGACAAAAACAGAGTCCTTTCTGTGTCTAAACTGTCCAGCTCTCTAAATGGCTCTGGCTCATTCTTTGATTGTTTTTCCTCACTGTAAGGAAATACACTCATTAATCAAAAGATGCTGGTTAGCAGTTTTTCACTACTAAATTGACATTCGTACAGAACTGTTAGCATGTGCTTATCTTGGACTTGTACCACTGAGAAGTTATCAACTGATACATAATCCTTACCTCTGCAAATTCTGTTTATTTGTAAGGAGAAGGCTGAAGTCACCCACAAGATTAAGAGAAATTATAATTGGCACGCTTCACAAAAATGGAGCAGGATGCTCAGTTGCCTCATGTTACTTGATATTTGAGCAGAAACAACCCCCTCAGTCAGTCCTAGAAGAAAATAACCCAATGCTCCGTGCCTGGTAACTCTCAGCAGCAATAAAGAGAGAAGCAGTAGGAAAAATGGTGTCAACTCTTGCATTTTTAGGGAGAGGAGGCAAAAATGTCCTCAACAGAACACATTTAGAAAGGCTTGCTTTGATTATGAATCATAATTGAAACCTTTCAGTGAAAACTTTGCCAAAATTTCACGTTAAATTACTTGAATTTGTGAATCTGGCAGCCACTATGACAGGAAAGTAATCTTTAGTGATACTGGCAGAAGGAAAGTCTGCAGTCAGCAGTGCCAAACAAGTATTTCTCTTGCTTTTTAAGTAGTTTAACAGTTAAGAAACATGTATTTTTATACTTGCATGTCATTCCATAATGCCAATTCTGATGATTTGTATGACTCTCACAATATTAGGAGGTTTTCTTAAAGTTTCAGTCCTTATGACTGCCTGAGTATCTTGACTGCTATTTTTTCTTCTTTTATTGTTTTTTTTTTTTAAATTGCTTTGGGTTTTGTTTTTTTTCTTATTTTAGTTTTTTTTAAGAAAGCTTAAGATTCCAGCTATCTTCACTTTGACAAAAACCTGAAAACTCCAAAGCTATGCTTGCAAAAGACTAATAAAGAGATCTCATAAGACATTGAATTTGAAAATCATAATTAATTTCTTGTCAGTCCTGTGTTTTTAGGCTTGACTTACGGCTATGAAGGCTTATGACTGATAGTACTGCTTTGCAATGGCTGTTTTCCTTGATAAGACACAAGGCTTGTGCCTGATAATACTGCATTATGATGGCTGTTTTTCTAGATAAGATACTGAAGTTTGAACCAGGCATCTCCAAATCTAGAAACAGATGGTGCCATACCTGGAGATATTCTACACATTACTATGTAGAATCTGGAGCTGACAGGATTCCAGCAGGCTTTTCTGTGGACTGTGCAAAATAGAAGTGATCTATGTGAAACTGTGGCACTGATCTTTTATGTATTAGAATATGCAGTAGCACAGGACGCACAGATCATTCAGTCTCATAGAAAACTAATTTGGTTGATAGTGGTACAGTCATTCTGATGATGTTCTGAGGCAATATTATTGGTTTTATTAACACTTAGGGGAAAAAAATTGAGTCTGGATATTTTTATGGTTTATTTTTCATCTCTTACTTATCTGTTACACCCAAATAGTTACGTTTGTACCTGAATGCTATTAAATTTGTGTAGATCAGGAATGGACACCAGAATCCACAGATTAATTTCAGGATCTGTGTGCTTGTAGACATGTCTCCCCACCATATTTTTGTCAGGAAGGCCTGAAAGTCAAGAAAACAAGAGATGGCTTTCACATCACGAAAACATACATACAGATGAAGTGGACCTACGCTCTGTGGCTCCTAAGACAGTGAATGCTCTGGGAACCTAAAGAGCAGGTACACCTTCAGAGCAAACAAGCAGTCTCCACTTCCTTCTGCAGATGCTGTTGAGTATGCAAATGGAAATGGAAATGCAAGTGGAAAGAACAGCAAGTCAAGTGGAATTAAGCAACATCTATAGTACCAAGAAAGTGCAAATCAGGCTCTGGGAGCTAAAAGCACCATCACTCTTAATTTAGTTCTGTGTACACGGAGACAACTCAGGTTGTGAGGGCAAAGCTGAAAAGCAATTTGATTTAAATTTTTCAGTGAGCTTTTCCTTGAATCTGAACAAGGAGTTACCTCACATCTTGGAGCAGTTCCATTATGCCTCAGGCAGATTTAGAGTGCTTTCCTGATGCTTCTCTGTGAGCAAGGAAGGAAAAAAAAGCACAGGATGGAATAAGTGTTAAACCTTCCCCTCAGTGCACTGGTCTGCAGGCCAACTGGATGAAAGGGAGGGGAAAGAGGGAACTGTGTTCCTTTGTCAAGGATGCAGTAATACACCATCTTCGCATGGTGCTAGGAAGAGGGAAGAGTCCCCTCTCAGTAGAATACCTCTTAGAGGAATACATTTCATGGGGTTCAGTTGCTGTGCTATCCTCTTCTGTGTCCAACATCCTGCTTAAAGCCCGAGGTGGTGAGGGAAGGGTCTGTAAAACTTACCTGGACACCGTCATGTGCAAAGAAAGACTTTGCATCTGCTTCTGTAGCCAGCTGAAGGCAAGTGGTTTTGCTCCAGTACTGAGTTTTCCTCACCAGCAGAGCAAACGCTCTCTCCTCGCTGTTGTGGTAGCATTCACTAAACAGTTCTGCCAAATGAAGGAAACACAGACAAACAGATCTTTTTACTTAAAAGAAAAAAAAAATTGAACATGAGGCAAGAGCGTGTGTAGGGTGCAGCACAGCGAGAGCAAAGCCGGAGCACTGCCAGATGCTCCTTGCTGCACCAGAGACTTCTGCAAGGCTGAAGTAGTTGAAAAGAGCCTGAGAGCACTAAGAGAAGGTAGGAGGGAGAGAGGAATGGTGTTGGACACAATAATAACTCATGGTGGCTTCATGTACGTGTGTATATGTGTTGGGGCAGAGGGCAGATAAAACAGATTTGCCTTGGTGGAAAAAGGATCACTGTAATTTTTAAATTCCTACTATTTGCAGAGAGGTATGGAGTAAATCTGTCCTTACCTCCCTCTCACCTCTTTCTATCTGCATGCTCCCTTTTCAGCCTGGGGCCTCTAACAGGTTTGGTGTTCAGGGGTTTTCTGTTGGTTTTTTGGGTGGTGGTTTGTTGTTTTTTTTTCCTATTTGGTCTGAGGAGAAACGTTTCTTTCTCGGTTCTTCTACAGACAGCATAAGAAACTTCTGGGAAACACGACAGTATTTTTTTCATAGTCATTCATCTATATCTGCCTCATGTGGCGCTTTAGGCAACATCAAGCAAAACTGTCTCTCTTGGGTGATCATCTTGCACTTGGAAGGATGAGTTATCAAGCTGCCCTCACTCCTGAACAGACTAAACAAAAGGAGGAGCTCAGCTGTGGCTTGTAGCCAACAAATCCTTGGTTTAAAGACATAGTTATTTGACATAAAATCATACTGAACTTGATAGAGTGTTGTGGCATAGTTCTATTTCTAGAGAATCTGGTCTTGAAGCTCAGAAACTAGAACAAACCAAAAGTCAAGGTTTTCTCATGAGACAAGATCTGACTTCTTGTGTCTGTTTCGTTCTGCTGATTCACTTGATTGTCTCAGTATCTTTCCTACACCTTGTTGTTACACTATGAGGGCTGGGGAAAGGATCAAGTTTGCTTAAAATAAGCTGATATACAGGCTTCTTTTGCAGCTGATGTGGTATTTATCATTCTTAAAGAATGTTCGCTCTACTTAATATTGGCAGCATTATCCAGGCCAGAAATTAAAATTGAGGATCTGACCTAATACTTACCAAAGCCAAGGAGCAAACTTCTGTGCATTGGAATAGGCCCTGTGATTCCATTTCTAAATTACTGGAGCCTTGTGATTACATGAGAACCTTTTGGTTTTTGTAAATCATAATGGCCCTGTGAGAAGAGTGGATAATGTGATCCGTGTATAAATAATTGCAATGTCTGCCTGAGCCTTCAGTTGCTTGATGCTCTAGGGAGAGAGAGAAAGAGCCTCTGCATTTCCACATGCAGCATACTTTTAAAGCCCTCCGTTCACAGCAGTGCTACCTTCAGGTACGGGTTAAATTCAAGTCAGATGGGCAGAGAAGCTTGTGTGCACACCCCTGTTTTCAAACCAGGCAAAGTGGAGAGGGCTTGGCATTCCAGCATTGCGGATGCCTGAATGCCGACTGCTGCAGGGAGAGGTGGCTTCTCTGCTGCGAGACCAGCCTGAGCATCCCTGCAGCTTTGCAGTGCAGTTAGCCCTCTTCTGGGTGAGGTAATCTCAAATTATTTTTAGCAGTGAAGACAAACCTTAAAACTTGTTGCTCTAGTGGCCCTTACAGATCAAGCTTGTTATTGCAGGAAAACCAGGCCAGTGTGAGCCTGGAAGTGGTCTGGTTATTTTGTCTTGCCCATTGCTGTAACACACCTCATATTATGATCAGACGTTTAAAATACCAACATGCAGCAGGAGAGTAATTTCTTCTATGCATCCCAGGGGCCAGCCTTGGAACACTGATTTTTTTCCAAAATAATTGAGGTTTAAGTCCTTCTACTGTGGTATTTGAGTGTTTGGGACTGCCTGTGCTGCAAGGCTGCTAAATTATTCATGACAGTTGACCTTTTACAACTGAAACAGTATCTTTTTTACTTGTTTGACTTCCAGTGGCAGTTACTCCTTAAATTTTTGATACTGTTAAAAAGGTGCCATTACTTACCAATAGCCAGTTGCTCATATTTGGCCTCTTTCATTCTGCGTGCTACTTCCGTCTCTGTCTCCAGGCGGGACATCTCTTTCAGGATCTTGCAGGCTGCCAGAGCTGAAGCTACACCCTCCTGGCCCTGGAAGAATTGAAAGAGGTGCTGCTGTTACCATACACTGGAGGGCATTTCTGAACTGGGGAGACGTCACTAAGGAACTCATCTACAAAAAAAACAACAAAAACAAACAAACAAACAAAAACCCAAAAAACCTATGCAAGTCTCCCCTTTGAAGAATCTTCCCTCAAATACAGACTTGAAAGTCCAAAATGTCAATCAAAATGACAGTTCTGGTGATATCTGGGAATTGAAAACCACATATTGATTGTTCTTGTGCCTTATAAGGCTGAAGGCTTCTGGGTTTGATTGACCTTAGAGGGGCTAGATTTAGGGTGGCAGTCAAAAACTGAAAAGAGAAGAATACATTATGGAAATAGAGCCAAACAGTCCCGTATTGCCAAGATACCTTAAACACAGCTGTGCTGAGATCCTGTATAAGGACCTATGGGAAAGGAGGGAGCACAGCTGTCAGGGGCACATAAGTGGCACACAGCAGAGAAACGTGCTTTCTGGTAATGGGGCTTCACAAACACAAGGCCCTGCAAGGTGCAGATGTGTCTGCATGCACACACACACACACTTGCTGGCTGAAGAGCTGTGTTGCAGTTTGTCCCTGCCCGTGACCCCCCCCCATGCCAGATGTGGGTGCCTGGAAGCTCAGGGACGGTGCCAGATGCATGAGACAGGGCCTCAGTTGTGGAGGATGGTAAAACAGGAGCTAATTATGCCAGCTTGAAGCTCAGCCACTGAGGCTGTGATGCTGTTATTCCCTACTCATACAGCACGTAAACTAAAGATGCTCCATTGCACTTCTCTCTCCATCACGCTCGAACCAAACAATTGAGCAATTGTAAGAGGAACAAAATGTGAGGCTAAGGGCGGTGAGTCAGCAGCAGCAAGGGAGCGGGGGGCACCTCTCCAGCTGAAGTTAACCAGCAGCAGAGTTGAAGGCTGTGCTGATCTACACCTGCTGCTGCTCTGTTCTCCCTCTGTTAGAGGGCCCCTGGCCCCTGCTGGCATGAGCCACATGGAGATAAAAGGCCCTATAAATGCTGCGTCTATTTTAGAAACAAACTTATCTGTGATCAGAGCTGCAAGGCTGAGCAAAAACTGTCTCATGTACTTGAAATATGCCATATTTCACCTGAAGCAGCTACAGCTGAAAGCTTACCATAGCCCAGAAATAGTTTGCCATCTTGTGCCGGTTTTGAAGTACTGCCCATACAAACAAATCCCTCCAAGGATTTTCGCTTTTCTGGTTCATATCTAAGGGTCCAGGTAACTGCTTCGTGTTCGTTTTATCCTGAAATATGGTTTGTAGAAATTAAAACCTGCTTTGCAGTCTCATTCCATGCAAATGACATGATCTAAGCTGCTCTTGGCCTTGCCAGACACTTCGTATTCTTCTGATTTTTCTTTTTCTGTTCTGTAAGACTGGGAGGTAATTAGTGCATTCTGTTCTGAATCAAAGAACCCTTGTGTTCCTGATATAACTTAATATGTGTGAGAATGTTCTGGATGAAACCGTGACTCCATTGAGATTGATGGCAAAGCTTTCATTGGCTTTTAAAGGCCATGGTTTTACCACTGGTGTGTAATATCACACAAGACAAACCTGTTATTAACTCATCTGAGCTTGCCTTCAGTTATATTGGATTCTGCTCAACTGTCACAGAGGACGTGACTTCAGAGGAAAAGGAACAAAAAGGCATTTTATTTTAACAGAAAGAAATCTCGCCAAGGCCCTGTACAGGACAATAACAGAGTATGTCAATGCCCTCTTTTTAGTCTTCCCTTTGAGAAACCTCTTCCTCATGCAGGGAGTATTTTAAGTAGAGCACTGCTTATTCCTTAGTATTTGATAAAAAAACTCTCCAGGGGAAGGTTGGCAACTTAGGGCAAGTTCTGATTTTTAAGTATATTTTTAAATGCTTTTCCTGTATTAATTAGAAGCAGCCAGAGTGGATTTTCTTTTTTTAATAAAACAAGTTTTTGTGAGGTTATTTTTTTAATCACCTAAACTATGGGATTCTGTTCAATTGTATTTTAGCAGCATTCTGGGGGGTTGTTGGTCTTTGGTTTTTTTCAGATTGTAGTGAGCTACTTAATCAACTGAATGGCACTGAAAACCTTACAGGAGACAGAGATGTCCCAGAAGTATCATCAACCTTTGTAACCACTAGATCCTACATTGAAATAAGACACACAGTTTAGCAGCAGTGGTGTTGGTGTCCCAGTACAGTGATGCTCTTTCTGTTGCTTATGATTGTGCCACTGGTAGCAGTCATGGGAAGAAGCTTTTAAAGGAAAAAAACTAGTAGGGAGTGAGATCTGGTGTCTGAATTGGGCTTTATTTACAGCACTTGGCTTTAGCTCACTTACTGCCAAATCCCACAAAGGCAAGTGAGATTTTGGGGGGAAAACTTTTCTTTCTGTAAAATTTTGTTTGGGAGGCAAACTTTTCTTTCTGTAAAATCTTCTGTAAAGACTGGAATTTGCTTATGCTTAATGACTTCAAAGGTATTGCCCCAGATTGTCTGCTCTTGTGAACAAAGTCACATTACTAATCGATTTAGCTTGGCTTTATCAAAGCAAAAGTGATTGAAGCTCTTGAGTGACAATTTTTTTTTAAATTTATTTAGTTTAAACAGTTTTAAGAAACTAGAACTTGGCAAATATTAAAAGGTTTAATTGTTTAGTTTGTGTAAAACTCTGATCTTAATGAATTTTCTCTATACCCCTGTTTTGAAATCATGAGTCCAAACTTATTCCCAATGCTCTTGCAAGAACTGTGATACTCATGAGTTTCAGTGCACTGTCAAAATGCAAAACTGATGGTGCATATTGCAAAATTGTAGACAAGTGCTCTGTAGACATTTCACAGTGCTACCTATCACGTTATCCTTTTCATCCGCTGGCCAGGGCCACTTCATGCAGTCATTTTTATTTCTTGCTGTGTGGTATGTCACTCAATAACAGGACTATAATGATCTAAGGGCAAATATGTACTGCTTTTTATCGAATATCCAATCTACTCCTACACAGTATCAATCTGGGAATAGTTTTATGTACAAATATTACCATTTTCAGACCTGGGATTGAAAATGGTCGTCACCTGCTTGTCCTTCTCCTAGAAAATGCTGTCTTTCAAGTACTTCTGCTTGAAGTTCTGTGTGAGAAATGCAGGCTGCTATTTTTATGTCTAATTACTCCTGAGTAAATGTAATTCTGTCTCTTCATATTCAATGAAAGATGCACAGGGAATCTGTTCTTATGCATGTGAGGCTAATAAGATCAGTAAACTGTTCTCCAGGTGCAAGGTGCTGGAATGAGGAGTGGTTTCTGGAAGTTGCGCTAGAGGAGTTCGAGATACCGGGGCCTCTGCAGATCCTGAAGCAGAGGCCATATCTTAGCTCTAGTTAAAGGTACAGTAAAACCCAATGTGCAGAGGAGGAGAGAGAAATCACAACCTGTCTATCTTAGAAATTCCTTTGTTTTCCTTTTTAAAATGAAAAAGATCAAGCCATTTCAGCAGTGATAATAATGAGCTGAAAAAAGGAATGAGAAACTGAAGTGACTGTCTCACATCTCTTTCCTTCCCTGCCCCACTCTCAAAGGCTAGAACTAATTAAATTTTTTCAAATTCTAAATTGGAGAGGAGCAGGACTGTGACGGAAAAATATAACTCACAGATTTCTTGATGCCTCCATGTCTCAGGTCTTGATAGAAACCTTTGCATGCATCATGGAGAAAATCCTTGAGAACCCTGGAGACCTCACTGAGAGTGAAGAGTGGGGAGATCTCCTTCTGCTCCCTCTGCTGTTGACCAGTGAGCCCTGCCAAGGTCAGCTTGCTTTCTTCATGTTTCTTCAGCAGAAGTTCATAGAGGAGAGACTTCTGAGAAATGGAACAGTAGAGTCTCTGCAGACGACTGTATGTCAGGAATTCGGATATGTTAGCCCCATTGTCGATAAATAATTTCACAAATTCTGGTTTGTCATTGACCAGAGCATCCATCATCACTTCTTCCAGATCACAGGACTGGATTGATAAAGAGGACAAAAAAAAAAAAAAAAAGAATATTTTTGGGATAATCATGGATGGGAAGTAGGTGAAATTTAACATGAGGGCATGCATATTTTTCTTCCACCAGGTCAACAGTGGGTACAATTAAAAAGAGAGGTAGAACTCTTCACAGAATCACAGAATTACAAAATATTAGGAGTTGGAAGAGACCTCGAAAGCTCATCCAGTCCAACCCCTGCCAGAGCAGGATCACCAGACCAGGTCACACAGGAACACGGCCAGGCGGGTTTTGAATGTCTGCAGAGAAGGAGACTCCACAACCTCTCTGGGCAGCCTGGGCCATGCTCTGGCACCCTCACAGTAAAGAAGTTTTTCTTCATGTTCACATAGAACCTTCTATGCTCCAGCTTGCTCCCATTGACCTGTCATTTGCTATCACTGAGAAGAGCCTG